AAGTTTGCAAAAAAATTAGAAGAATCCTAAGTAGCTTTCTCTAGAATTGCTTTTTCAGGAATCAGAAACCTTAAATTAGTCGTGTCTTAGCGCTCGTGCTTGTGCGATTTGGCATTACAAGTTCCCTTTGAATTGGAATGAAGTTATAAAGTCAACAGTCTGAGAACTAGTCTTTAACATTGTTGGGACATTATTGTAGTAAGGACTGCCTGTTAGACTTCCAATTTGTGACCATCAAATTTGACGTCGACCAAATTTTCAAGCTTTCCTTTCCAAGCAGTGAAAAAATGTTTAGCCTGCATTTCTAGCCTCAACCAATAAAAAACGATGGTGGATACGGCTGTGTTGACCTTGCTTTTCGACGTAATTTAATTGAGAAAAATTTAAGTTGTATAAGTGGTTGATCAATGCTTTAATTTTTACTAAACAGACCATTTTATCTAGGTTTCTATTCTCAAGGCCTTAGTCAGGGCCTTGATAATTCAGAGACCGTTTAAACACATTTCATCTGGTTTTCCTCTGCCACTCAATCAACATCACATAAGGCTTTTGGGGCGGTGACAACGAGCACTTTTACGTGGGCTGCTGTCATGATAGTTCTCGAATGGAACTGCGAACGAACTATTATAAAGCTTGATTATTTGTTTTATGCTTGACATCTATCATGGTCAATGTTCTCTTTTGTCTTTTAATTGCGCATGGCATTTAACATGCATCATAAAAAAGCCAGCGGATTTACTTCGCGAATAGGACATCGGCCTTCCCCCACTCCTCTGAGTACTCCTCTGGTATATCTTGTCACAGAAGTACTGAAGCCAAGGCTAGTGTTCACTTTATTCTATACAGAACCTCGCATGCATCTTGTTTGCTATTTCCAGTCAAATGGCTCGATAGAAAATGAATGCCTCGTAGCTGTGAACAAACCTGGTTGTTTTTTGCAAAGCTAATTACACACGCTTGAATAAAGCAGGAAAACCTTCCTTATTTGGGGCTAAAACATTTGCCTGTTTGGCTTGATTTATGCATTTTTTAAAATGTTGATTCGTAGGGGCAGCCGTTTGCGAGTTGCTTACTGAGCGAGCGGTGAGTGGGCAAAGTTGTAGGCCTCCATGTTTGTTTTACACATTTTCTATTTACCATTAACATTTTATGCTTCATGCTGTTGTAATATTTGTCGTGCAGGATAGCACATATACGTTGACGAACGTTTCAAATCGTCTTCTCTTCTTTGTAAAGTGCTTACAACGTTTTCCGCTATCACTATGAACGATGATAAAAATAATGCTCCTACTTTAATAACGTTTACTAGAGATTTAAAGTTCTATCTAGACATTATGGAACATTTTTAAGTGATCGTATGCGTTCTGAGTCGTCTTCTTTGCAGATTCAGCATGTCTATGTCTATATAACGAAGTTTTCGTAAAAGTTTGCTGTTTACAATGACATTAACAAATTCAAAATCATTGTAATTCTCCTACTAGCATAAGAAGTCCTTAGATAGATACCTAAAGCTTGCATTTTTCATTCAGGAACTTCCAAGCGATTTTTTAGATGTGTTAAGAAGTTATCTTCGGTTCAGGTGAATAATTCAAACAGGTTTCACAACCAGCCACTTTGTGCATAGAACGTAATTGCCGGGAAAGTTATTTAAGTCTAAGCCAGCATTGGGCATCAAGCTACAGACTTACGCATCATGTAGTTAACTTTTTGGAACTGTTTTGTATGCTTTTGCCCACCAGGTTCTCTCACCAGTAAACTAACAATTTAACCAACAAAAGTACTCAAAATATGTGCTGTGATCCTATGTAAATTGCACAATTAAAGTTTCTACAAGTGGTATTAGTTGATTCAGCTGTAGACCTCGGAAAATTCATTGCATTAATGGAATCCATGTAAATTTTTTGGCTACGCTTTGGTAAATTTGCAATTGTACGTTGTTCTTTTAGATAAGTTAAGATCATCTAGGTTATTTCATTAACATCCATATGCATTTAAGCGGATGTAAACCGGAAGTGCACCAGCACAGGCAGGCGGCGGCGGGGTGGTAACGTCGGAGTCACACTCGACCGTTCCTCCTGACGTGTAGGCCAGAGCCTTCCGACTTTATATAGCCCGTGGCTTCCAAACCAAAGATTATATAATAGTGACACGCATGAGCTCTTAGTCGATGATATTTTCTGGTTGCCTGGGCAGAAAAATATTGAGTAGTTTTTACCGTCATCAAAAGTGCCAGTTATAAAACATTGAGTAGGGAGTAGTGGCGTGAATGGAATAGAACCAGCAGACAAGTTATTTTGTTCACAATTACAATGCCTAATTCTTTATCAAATTTAAAATAAAATATACAAGACATTCCGTTGCTTTGTATTGATGCTATAGTGGCACACAGGAGAAAAAATTATATATTGGGTCGTTTGAAATTTAACCTGGGAGCAAAGGCAAAAGCATTTGTTTCTCTTTATCCGGATCACCTAAAAGAAGTTACATTTGTAGCAAGCAGTTTGTGTCATCTAAATTTTGATGCTTTTACCCCATTTTCCCATTGTCGTGCACATACATACATAAAATGTATATTTTGAGTTAAGAGTGGCATTTGTGGCACCTAGAAGACAGTGATTTAATCTGCCTTAACCGAATACTGATAACCCATCATGCTTTTCTGCCCACTGCCTTAGTCAAAACCTCTGGATTTTTCTATAAACTAAACTCTTTTTCTGGAAATGTTTAACAACCTATTTCCAATTCTGGAAGGCACCTAACATTTGAATTGGCAGCGGTAATCGCAAATGCAGCAAAAGCTCATGAGGCCACGATAAAGATATTTCATCAACGCTGGTTAAAATTTGTAACTCGATTGCATTATCTTTATAAGTCCTACCCCGAGCCACGAAAAATGCTCTTTCCTACTTAAATAATTAGAGGTTCACTTTCACTACCGAAAGTACAAAGGGGTTGTCAAGTTTGCAATCAAAGACTGCTTTGTTGCATAAGTGACCACTTTAAGGATGTACATTTCAGGAAAAAAACAGAAGCCGATGTCAACTAGGTGGAAAATGATTTTACAAGTGACCGGAAAATAATGTTCGTTAAAGTGAAACGCCTTGGGCTCTTGGTGCACACCGGTCCTTCATCCAAAGGCACAAAAATGTACATTGTTCAAGAAATGATTCTAAATGAGGTGCATCGAATGCTCCCTTTCCATTGATGTGTGCGTGCGCGCGTGCGTACGGGCACGTTTACGTTCCACAAGTTAGCAGAAATCTGAACCCGATAATCTGTGGGGATATACAAAACGCGAACGCATTCACAAAGCAAATTTATGTTCCAGGTTGAACTTTCTGTTAGTTCCTGCGTTGAGGCAAAATAACTTTAGCCAAGCAAACTGCTATTTCCCCAATACCAACCTCTTACGTTGGAGAAAAATCAGACAGAGCAATCCAACTAAGAGTAGTACTTTTATCCAGAAAAGATGCCAATATTATTTTATTTTCCTTAATTAAATGTGACATGTAACAAGATAGTAGCATTAAGTTCGATGAGTACAGCTGGTGATTCCAATTACTTTTGGATTAATTTTTCAAAGTATGCCGACATCTTACCGACACGAAAGCTACCTTTACAGATGACTCGATGCCACTTCGTCTTGCTGCCTTCGCTGCGCAATAAACCATTACCCAGTGCCGTAAACAAAAGACGTCAGAAGTTTCAGGCCAGTAAGTTCGTTTCAAAACTTTTGAGAGCTAAGGGACAACCGTCAGAACTAAAATAGACTTGATCAGGTATTTAAGGGCATGTGATCGCTATTTTCTAGTTGACTTTGGGATAATATCACAAGTCTCCATGATTCTAACTCACTTATTTGATTTTATGCAAATTGTCTTCGCAATTGGGAAACAATCATGATTTGTATGCGATCCAATCTAGTGATTCTTAAAGCGAAATCTCTTTTGAGAAATGTGACTAGAACCTTTTGCATGGTAATCGCTTTCAATATGTATTGTAATAGGTGTCTGATGTTGTCTAAAGTACTAACTTTTTTACCTTGTAACTTACCAAGCTATTTCACCTTGCAAGAGGTACTACTACAGCTATGTAACGTTTAATTTCTACGGGTAGAGACTAGGCTAATTAGTGACATGGGAAAACTTTGTTAACGACACTTTTCGCCAGTAAATAATCCTGGTCTGACACAACACTTGTAAGAAAAAAACCAATTGCATTTTATTTCATAAAATATTTTGTCATACCTTCAAAATAGATTGTTAACCACTGTCAGTATAATGTTTGGTGTGTACATAAAGAATTCGCAGCAACAGTTCAAAAACGGGAAGCTCATTCACGTTGCTGTGACAGCCCAAAGCCAGTGGTATTTTAATTCGGCAAAATAGTGTTAACAAGCCTTACAAGTATCCACATCTGAATGAAGTTGATTAACACAAGGTGCCGAAAATTAAAAAAAAAAACTTCTGCTTAAAAAAAGCAGTCCCGACGAGTGTGCACAAATCCAGATTGACGAGTCAATTGGGGCTGTTTCAAGATGGGAATCCTGACCAACCATAGGTTGGCGGGTTAATCCAATCAAGACAAAGTGTACTATTTCGTTCAGCAAGAGCACATCAAAAGGAATCAAAATAGGAAATCGAAGACAGGGAGAAGCAAAGAGATGTATCACAAACACAGCGAAGGGTATTTTCGTAAAACGTGCGACTCCTGACAACAAAATGCATAGTCACAAGGCCACCCGAAATATGTAACAATTGTTGTTGCAGATGTTTTGTGCTTAAACGACCAATTAGAAAAAAATAGATTTAAACATTTGAATGAGCAGCTCGGAGGCAGAAAGACACAATTGTCATGGAGAAGACTAAAAGAGGGTGTTGGAATAGGAAAAAAGGGCTTTGTACACAGAGATGGGAGAAGGGTGATCATGCGTTCAGAACTGCATAGAAACATTGGCAGATGAACGGGAAGGGTGATGCACGGTGTCTCGTGAGGATGCTTTAGTTCATAGAAACAAGACTCGGATAGGTGTGTAGAAGAGGGGGCTGCGGCAAAAAGACCGAGAGTGGCTGAGTGGTGAGAGGGTACTCCCCAGTGGATAGGTAGTAGCCAGGAAGGTAGGCATAAGAGTTGTGCTGACGATTGATGGCGGCTGCAGCGTTCGCAGGGAAGGCGTAGTTGGCCGGTGAAAAGTGAGTCGGAAGAAACGCTGCAAGAGTTAGACGCGCTTAAAAGTGTCACACCACTGCGCACCTTCACTTGGATCACCCCACCCATGGGGTGGCCCTGAACATTCTCAACATGGCGTTGTCTGGTGGGGCGTAAGGCGTTTGCAACGGTACTGAGTTTACCACAGCTCTGAGACTTGTGGTGACTATTTTGCCGTATTCATGGCAGCAATTTATAAGCCCGCTTGTGACTGGTGAGGAGGTGAGATCACGAAATTAAGATGGATCGCCTAATTGGCCACACCATTCGCATTTCTTGCGCAATTAAAAAAAGGCTGCCAGCAAAGCACTGCTCCTCAGCTTAGGTTAGCCTCTAAGTTGTGTAGTGGCCACAAACCCCTCCAACTTTGCATAAATTGAGTGCGTGCTGTAATCTGATGTCGCCCATATTTGACAAAATGCATAAAGTTGTCATAAAACATTAACAAAAACGTGACTGAGACTTAAATCCCAAAAGTAATTCCCTTTAGGGTCTGACTAAAACGACCTAAAATACGTTGCAGAATAGTACCTGTGATTAAAGGTTGTGGGTGAGTCTTGGCCTGCTATCTACTCTTTAATATCAATTCACTCAGGAATTGCTTGAATTCAGATGCCAAATTCTATCCGGGTCTCCATTAAAAACGCTTGCTATAACTACTGTAATTATTATGTCGTACCAGTTAAATTCTAAGAACTTGTTTTGTTACTAAATGTGCTCTGTTTTTCTGTTAAACTAATGCATCAGTCATTATCTAGCCTTGATTTGACAACCTAACAAGGAAAGCCAAATTTAAAGTGAATATTGCTTTATCTATTGCAAACATTTATTTAGGTAGCACTAAGGCACTTGATCTCGTGTTGGCATGCAATTAAACTGCACTCAGCCCGTTGCCGTCATCCTAACCAATAAACCGATCAGTATGGTCATAATAGCTTGCGAGAACGATGAACTCACCGAAGGGATTCCTTAGAAAGTTTTGACGCTGCTTAGCCACACAACTTGAGGTTCCCATTACTTCTTTAGGTAAGGCCCGCTTGGCTTCGACCTTAAGTGGAAAAGAAAGATGGCTTTAGTGAAATCCATGCTTGTAGCTGCATAATAGATCACAATTTCAAAGGTGTGGCTTTGGAGGCACGCGTGTAATTGCATCACGCAAAAATTGTCGGTAGTAGTGAATGTGCTTTGAAAATACCAGAAAGGTCAAAATGTTTGACGCGTTCTACTTTTGGCTTGCTTAAGTAGATGTAAACTGGTGCAATATCAACTGCCAAATGACGGCTTAACACAATCGGACCAATCCGTAAAGCGATTTTCACACTTGAATTGATAACCAAATTGCGCTGAAATTCGTAAACACAACAAAGAAAAACGACTTAAATTGTTGACCATTTACTGAGCAAAGTAGGGTCAAACAAAAACATAGTTCTGATATTATTTAGCCTTTTTTTTGGGGGGGGGGGAAACCAAATTTGTGCTAAAAGTGGTGGATATGAGGTAAAGCAAGCAATAAACAACGACGGTTCAAGTTAGATATTGATTCCAGTGGCGTCAAGCATTAAGATCCTCAATAGTGAACGAATGACATGGAGTGCGAAACACGTAGACAAAGGGAACGCATGATAGCTTACACAACCAAACAAAGTTATCAGCCAAATGCCTGAATTGTTGCGTAGGGTCACTGTAATGAACGGGTTCTGGTTAGGTGGCATACGAAAAATCCGCTTATTTTAGCCGGTGTTGCCTGGTTGCGAATCAAATCGACAATGTCGAAAGAAACACCGCACTTCGAATGCGGGAGCACCATAAAATAAGTTTTTAGTTAACACAGAATGGGAGGTACCTCCTGCGTAACACTTGAATTTTCTTTGAAAAGAGTGTTCTTAAACGGGCATTGCTCCCTCCTTGTTTTATGGCCTTGGTTCGAAAATAGGCTGCATTACTCTTTACGATGTACTTCCTCAATACCTCATTACACCAAACTGTTGACCTTCTAGCAAAAACAGAACTTGGCCAAATGCGATAGATGCCCCATTCCAGCACACCATAACTACGTAGTTAACTGTTTTGGTTTCTAAGTATTTGCATTAAATGAGGCATTCAGTGCCAAAACAACTTATGACCATTCTCTCTTCCGTGCTGGTTGCCTATCGTAAAGGTTATAAGTGGTTTTGGTGGGGTACAGGTAAACACAACTTTCTTCGGTGTGACTCACTCTCTTGGGTCTTTCAAGGTGCATGAAACCGAGTGCTGGACTAAATTGCTAGAAACGCATGCTAGGGAGAGGAGTTTAACAACAGGCGTCCTGTTTGGTCATCATTTTGGCTTTCACCTAACTGACTTCAGTGAGACTGTCTGAAGAAGGGAATCAAGGATTAGTTAAGTTATAGTTTACACCTTGTCTGTGTGCCCTCATCTCAGGGTGACGACTGCCAAAGAAAAGTCTTTAGGAAAGAGACTTAAAGAGATTCAATGCTGAGTCCGCATTAGTCAAGAAGGCAAAGAACGCAAACTTTTCACCTGCTTGAGAGGAAAACACTTCCACTTTATTTGAGAAGTCGCTTTAAGCCGGGGGATTTTTCCAGCACAGCATTGAAAAGTATTTCGATTGCAAAGTTGGAGTGTAAATAAAAGATTTGCAATAATCGGAGGATCGATTTTACAGGTTGGTGGGTCTTTGTGTGCCGCCCTTGTGATGCTAAAATGTTAAGCCTTGCGAACGCGGTCACTGTTGGCAGCTGCAGTAAAGTTACTTTACTGTGCCGTTTTAATTCAGTTACAATTTACCAGTAGGAAGAAACATGCCAAAGGACTTAATGACAGTAATCACCCTGATAGTTTAGCAAATTGGAAGACAAATTGTAACTGACTTCAGTAAAGTACTAATGGTTAGCGTAAGGATAAAATGTCCAGGAGATGAGCATGATTGTTAGAATTGACAAATAAAGCAATCGAAACACGTGGAAAGCAGATCTAACTCACTCTTTTATTATGCAGCTCATGAAAGTGCATATCACAAACTTTTTCGGCTGCGTCCTCATCTTCAAAGGTCACAAATCCAAAGCCTGTAAAACAGAAATGACGATGACTGTATTTATATTATTGTAGAGATAAAAATCAAATAAAGTTTAGAATAGGAATCGAAATCGTTTGACCTATTTACTCACGAGGAATGGGTACTTCACTGGATAAAACTTGTCCAAATAATGTACACACTTTCTCGTAGATGTTAAATACCATTGAGGATAATGAGTCAATATTTTACAGTTTTCTAAATAAAATTTAAACATTGTTTCAAGGATTTTTGACCTGAATATTACATCAGTTAGTCCATGCTTACGAGTGGGAAAACTGAACCAAAGCTAGCTTTAGTACAGCATATTGCAAAGGCCTTGAATCAATCCTCGTGCTTAATAAGCATCGAGGGTTTTTCGAGCCAAGATGTGTACCAAAGGAGGTGAAAGTTTTGTGTTGATGTGCACACACAATAGAAACGTCAGATAAAGCTAAGGACTGATGTCGATCCACGTCCAGTGCTCATTTCTGCAACACACACACCCACACGCACAGCATGAACAGTTGCGAAAATAAACATGTCTGCAATTAAGTCACGTATACACATGGGCTTACTGGCATGATATCATGGACGCTTATGGAAGAAATTGTTATAGAAGATTTAAATAGATCTCCTGATGAAAGAAAAAGGTCGCCCTCTCTAAGGCATTTCTTCACATACCATGTGCTTAAAAAAGTTTCACTTTTGGATCAAACTGCACAAACGCTTGATTTACATGACTCACTCCCAGAAAAATTAACTTTCATATTTGGGAATTAGAGATGTGCAATTCAGTTGGCTACCATTAATAGGGAACATATTTTAAATGCGTGGTGAATGTACAATTTAATTTGTGTTCTACTAAGCAACCATAGGGTGGACAAATGCATAGTTGGGCCTCAAAGACGTAAAAGTTGCAAAGAACGTTTAAGCGGTCCAAACAGTTACCAACGTAGCAGTAATCTTGAGTCATATTACGTTGACATGAAAATTTCCACTTAATTGCCACCGAAAGATGCTCAGATGAAGCCCCGACGAAAGGCTTCATCTACTTTACTATGCTTTGTCCCCCTAAAGGAGTGAAAAGCGCACAACACCTCGACAGCAAATTGCAACACGACTTCGTTAATGGGTCCGCTGGACCTACCAGTCCCAAGGTGAATACTTTTGTGGGCAGGCAGACGCTACTGCGGGAAAAGTGACTATTTATTAATGGTTTTAACTGATAAATCTCGGAAATTCTTTCAGTCTAACTATACTGCGGGTGCTATTTGTCGCGCCCTTGTTCACACTTTCTGATACTTCTAAGAATCAATCTTTAGGAAGCATTGATTTTACTTTTCTTCTTTTAATAGCATCTGTCAGCAAATAAAGTAAAAAAATTATCGAAGAATACGAGCAATTTGTCCATTTGCCTAAACTAACCAACAACCATTTCTAAAGCTCGACTTTTTTTATAATTTTGAAAATCTTCCTAGCATCTATCCATTAATCCATCTAAAAGTTAGGAACACATTTCACAACCTTCAAATTAATAAAGTATTAAAGGTCATGATTGGCGCTTGGGGTTGGTCCATCTGATGTGTTATCTGTCAACACCACGAGACCAATGGTAAATGCATGTAAAGTACGCAAAATGTTAAGGACAGGTTGCCCGAAATGTACTGATATGCTGAAAAATTGCACACTTCCTTAGGAAACAATGTTTATAATGATGGAAAACTCAATAATCAATCAAGCAAATCCCCTTACAGCTTACATGGGGCCGAGTTTATTAAACCGACATAAAAACTGATCGGCGCAGCTTCATACATTTAAAGTGCCTGGCTTATTGGTGCGATAGGTATTCCGGAATTGCTACGAGAGTAGTTTTGGCAGGGTTAAATTTTTGTGCTTTAAGTATTCTGGCTATAAATAAATGAGGGATTCATGAGGGGTTGGGCGCTACTTTGTCGGAATTAAACTCGGCATGGACGTTTAAACAGGTACCACTAAAATCAGTTTACCGGACCAGGTTTGGGTTCAGCAGTTGACACGTAACAACAAAGCCGCACACAATCGACATTCGTCCAGTCGCATGAAATTTTGGACTACTTGGTGGTGCCGAATTCCCTTGCATGGGGTTTAACCTGCTTTACACAGTTGAACTACTCTTGAATGATACCTCAAATTCTTTCAAGAAACATTAACATAGTGAAATCGCTCTAGCAAAGCCCTAACTAAGTTGACTCCTACAGTTACGAAGGAACACCATTAAAAATGAAGAAAAATGTCGCGTCACTGATAGATTAATCTTGACAGAAGTGTATGAGCCCATGTAAATCTGCTTTATGCACGTGTTCTGCTATCTAAGCGGTGGCGGACACAGCAGAACAAGCCAGTTTATTTGCTCACCCGAAAGGGTATTTGGGCTCGCGAGTGAAACTGCGCCTTTTGTAGAGGGGTATTCAGGCCTGACATGCTGTAGTTTAGTTTGTATGGGCTAAGAGCTATCAGATGAGCATTTTCTAAAAATATACAGCATTAAACATGCGCACTAATTGACCAACTAAGTCAAACGACGTAAATCATATGGCTGCCCATAGAAATAAAAGATGTGCGTAGTAGTAAACAGTGTTTTATGGTAACGCTTGTAGGTAATGTAATTAACCACATACCTCTGTGCCTGTTTGTTGTTTTGTCGATCATTAGCTCGCAGGCTTCGATCTAAGCAAGGAATTGAAAAAAAAAGGTTTTTACACACCAAGCAAGTCGTTTGCGCTGCATAAATGCTGCATTTTAACTTTGGCCAATAACTGATTCACGAAGTTAGGGCAAAAAGTGGAAACTAACTCGGAGATTTAATTTTCAAAAATGTTAAGAACACAGCCATGCTCCAACGAAGGCAGCCGAAAGCTAGGATGGAACATTCTGAAAGCCACTATTTCTCGCAAAAGCTACTGACACCCCACGCCAGGGCCAAATAACAACCAGCACTCGAACTTTAAATTGTTCACTGTGCACATTTCTACTGTCAGGTGTGGAATGAAGAAGTAGCGTGTTCCACGCAGCTGGTTTGTCCTAGGACCCATAGTTGGCAAAGCGTCAAATTCCAAAGAAGGTAAGCTGACGGCACGAACATAAGAGGCTACCCTGGCAACAGTCTCTGTTACACTTTCGTGTTTAGCAACACGTGGTTGTAATAGTACTTAAATGATGAATAACAGTTTTCTAACCACATGACAGATCCATGTCAAGTATTTATTAGAGTGTGTCAGAATAGCATCTGGCCAGCGGTGGTCTAATGAACTATTCGTGAATTTTTAAGTGTCCAAACATCGATACCATCTTGAGATAATAATCAGACTGCTTAGTTTGATAGACACTTTCATTCTATTGGATTGGCGACGAACTAATTCAGCGACCTTAGCCCAAAATATCCGCTTGCTATTTTGCTTACAGCATTGCCAGTGAATAAAACTTCGGGCGTACTATATCAGAGGGATTTCAACCTGAGAAAGCGTTAAATCAAAACAAATTAAGGCCCTTGTTGTTGACTTTTTGCGTGGATTGAACACCGAACACAACAAAACAAGTTTGGCATTACGCTGCATGACGAGTTGCAGGGGCGCGATTTAATGGCGGGGAAAAAAATTAAAATACCAGGCATTAACGCATTTGAGCGGAACGCTACAACTGTGGGAAGAGACTCTGGAAGTCAACCGAAAGAGGTCTTTGCTGTAGGATTGTGTCTTGCTCAACAACGGCTCTTGAGCCACCTCTATCAAGGAAACAGGAGAAAGCTTTGTTTGTGATAACTCGAGTTAGTTAGGGAATCGTGATATATGCTAGCATTACACGAAGTAGCTACGGGGCTGGCACCGCCGCCAGAGTTTGGCGAGAGGGTATACCGGCCCGCCGAAGTCAGCACTTCTTTTACACACAATACCCTCGCAAAAAGCAACAGCACAGTTTGGCGAAGACACGGTTAGTCAAGTGTCACGACAGATTCTGTCCGAAAGCAAAACAAAACTATCCACGCCAGTTGACTGCTCAGCGATTTGTCTCAAACAAGACTTAAGTTTATTCTTCTGAGCTGGCTGTATGGCCTTAACTAGCTTAAATAATACGCTCTATGAAAGTTGCGTAGAACATTTATTAAGGTGACAACAGAATGTTCCAAAAATAAGTTTTGGGTAACCAAAACTACGTTGTAGGCTGAAAAGATTTAAGAGTTTGTCCAAAAAATTGTATAAATCGATAATGGCTTCCTGGATTTACTGAGTGACAACGAACAAAAACCAAGGACTAGTTGCGCTTAAGGTATTCCTGACCATGTCTGTTCAAAAATTTATTAAGGAAATGCATATTCAAAAAGCGTTCCTAAAAGTTATGACGGGAAACGCAGTAAAGTATAAAACAAATGTTCTGCTGGTCCCTTCAAATAAGGAAAATAGCAGCGACAAAATGAGTTTGGTTGGATTAAGTCAATGAAACAGGCTAAGTTTCTCTCAAACATAAGTGTACGAGGTAGCCGCATTGCGGCGCAATGATTTCTCCTCTGTCGTTACCGGACAATTTGCGCCCCTCTCAACTTCGGGACCAGCGTGACCCGTTCGCGCGTCAGACTAACGCGTGAGCTGTGGGGGCAAGACGTCGGGGAACAAGAAAATCGATAATTTGCTAGGCAAAGAACCGTGGCTCACACGCCCACAGACACGATTGTGATTTTACGCATTAAAAACTAACCTTGCCAAATTGCCAGAAGTAGTCCCTCAATTCCTCGTTCGTAGTACTGGTGGCCACTCCACCGATGAAAACTTTCCTTGTCTTGGCCACGGTCTAAAAATAGTAACACGCGTGGCTTCTAGGATTTAGGTACTTTACGTTAGGCTGCTTTTTGCTTACCAGCTTAATAAATATTCAAGGTAATGCTATTACCAGTAACCCGACTTGTCCACTTGGTCACAAATTGAAACTAAACGTTTTTTTAAATCGGAGCTGTTTGGCTGATGGCAGCATAATAAAGTTTCGCTTTCATTTTTTAGGTAAACTAACAAATATATGTTATGCTACAAGCGTGATCACCCAAAAACTTGGATTTTGTACTAAACACACCGGAAAAGCAATATTGGGCCAAATTCAATTACTATTTGGTTCGATATATTTTTTTACTTTTAAAGGTAATCAGAGTTAAATTGAAATAAACATGAGTGGCTTCCCGTGATGTTAATGTAATGAGTAACTGCACGATAAGACCAGATCAACATCTCCATTCTGAAAAGCTGAAGTGGACCTTTTTCAAAGCATTTCTTAGCACTCAAAATCTTTCAGTGTTTGCAAAAAAGGTAAAACTGAGACAGCAGGACAGGTCTATGAAAATGTCAAGTCCATCCACAAAGAAGTTAGGTTGAATGGGGACTACAGATATAGCCCAATGCCAACTGAGCAAATCAAGTCACCAGCATCCAATTCTGGGTGGGATTTTTCCAACTAAAGCTTTCTATCCCTGTTAGGCAAACGGCTCACGCTCCATTCCCCAGTCTTACCTGCCTTCTTATGACGCGACTTCAGGGGGTAGAGTTTATTGAAAGAAAGAACTCGCAAACGTGTAATTAAGTTGATTGAGCAAGATAACGAGATCCAGCACCTGGAGGGAAGTCCACCAAGTAGCGGAGTTTATTACGCAAAAAACTTGGCATTTTGTACAAGAGTGAAAACTACGGCACAGCATAAAACAAACAGCAAAGAACGTTCACATACCTTGAAATTTTGTGAGGGCTTTCGCGGGACAGCCAGTTTTGGGTCGATCTAGGGCACCAAAATAAAAATTACTTGAATGAAACCCCTTATTAACGTGAACGCCTTTTTTGCCAAATGCACCAGCGGGAGGTCTAAATGTCGCTCACACATAAACACTTATTTGTCAGTCAAGCGCAACTGGACATTTCTGAGATTAGTATCAATCTCGAAGGCAGACTTCTGTCTCGTTCAGAATTACATGTTCCAAAGTCAAAGCGATATAACTCTTTTAGAATTAAAATGATGTAGGTGCTACTATTAATGTTGGCCCTAATAGACTTCAGAGAATTTTTTTATTCAGAAAGTAACACCAGCACGAAAGCATAGTGAATCACTACTAAAATGTATGTGATTGCCAGCTCTATTTTATCCACACAAACAGAGGCAGACAGAAAGCAGATAGTTGACTTGTACACCATGAAGCAAAACTCTTCAGTTTACCGGGTCTCGCGGCAACTAAATCTTCCGATTAAGTTGATAAATAGTTTTAGTCTCGTTTGTTGATGTTTGAAATGCGATAAATGTCCATCACTTTTTTGTTATAAACTGAAAGTGTATTACAATTGGGCTTTTATGGATTAAGTGAAGTGGGAGGTGAGCATAAGGAGTAATTCTTGTGGGCAAATGTTTTAAATCAACGTCAACATGTATTTATTTTAGGTCACTACAGGGCATCAGTTCAAATTAGAATTATGAATTGCTTGCCAAGGCCTATAGGATCGAAGTAATACATTGCGATCTCATTCTGCAAAATATACGACGAATAGCTGTTCTCGATATTGATATGAGTATTGAGAATTGATCCCGCACAGTCTACTAAGTCCGAGCCAGTTTGAATTGTCTCCTTCAGTCTTTCGATGTGAACTGATGTGGCGTAATTCTCCTCCGTTAAGTCTAACGTATTAGGAGTTAGCTTTCAAATGGTGACATTCCACTGGTAGACCCAATAAAGTACCACCTACACTCACTACCGCACTCAGTTTGCACCCCTCAGTACGTTCATGTGTATGTGAATGACCAGGCATCGGTCGTCTGGCCGTTCATCAGACGGCCGGATTCCCGCCGGCTCACGTCTCCTCGCTCTCCTTTGCGACGCTTCGGTGGCACGTGGCAACTTCCGCAACGATTATGCTACCTTGTAAAACAGTCAAGTAACAGCATCAACACCAAAATAACCTAACTTCATTCAAGAGTTAAATACGGAAAAAACCTTTTAACGTTACTGTTTTGAGCCTGATTTTAGCGACTGGCCAACATTTTCATTATTTGCGAGTCAGTCGTGTAAGTACCGACCCTTCGACGACTTGATCTTTCCCCTCAGGCATGTAAATATTCCATTTGTTTAGAACCAAGAAAACTGCAGCAGTAGTAATTTAAAGTAGTGAACTGAGCCTATTAATGCTGGTAACCACGTCAGGGAAACACTAACCTTTTTCGAGTCGAGGAAGTGAGGTCCTGTCTCGAGCACCTTCTCCACAGTAGAGGGGTCGGAGAATGTTACAAATCCAAAACCCCTAAAGTGCAAAGAAAAGAACCACAAAAGGCATTAAACTGGTAGAGAGAAGGCCACACATACTAGTTAAACCATGTCGCCGTAACGACCTGGCAAGCAGCCTTTTTAACCACTTTCGCTAGCATTTTGGGCCAATCGCTGAAGGAAGGGAAGTTGTCTTAGTTGGCTAATTTAGCTAAGGCGCGGTCGGCTTCCCTGGGGAAGACGGTTCGCAAATGATAAGACTGCTTGCTGTGGTTCGATTACTTCATTAATCCGCCTAACAAATGTCCAGGCATATGTGAAGGGAATTAAAATATGACGCAAAATCAGTTATCAGAGCAAGAAAGGCACTAACAAGCAGTCGTTTGGTCATAAATGTGACAAACTGCTATTATGATAGGTACAACTGTCCCTACCAAGGGGATGTTCGCATGAGTCAACGCAACAAGGCTCAAAATCTTAGGGCATTTAATGGTCATGATTTTGTCCACCACAGAAATACTCTGTATTCCAGAAATCAACGGTGCATGAAACAGATATGAGCTGTACCTCATTAAACTCCACGGCTGCATATGCAATTACGGAAAGAGCATTTTCTGGATACAGCAACTTCCGATCCGAAGAACCACGCCAAGCCAAAAAGGTGTGCTATCGTGGTACTCAACTCAAGATATCGACCGTTGATTATCACAGGACTAGGAAGCAATGATTTTAATTCGTCGTGGTACTAAGATTTACCTAATATGACACATTTCTGTGCCGTCTAATCAGAGTAGATAGCTTTAGAGGAATTACGGTAAATCTGGATTTATCTGATCGTGACTACTGACACTAATCCTAGGCATGACAAGTCAATGAAAGAACACTAAATAACCTGATAACCTGTGTGGTTAGGTGCCATGGCGTGTGCAGGTCAAAAACAGTAGAATTACTAATACTACCTGGAACGCTTCGTCAAAGGATCTCGCATTATTATGCATTCCTTGATCTCACCGAAACTCCGAAAGTAATGCCTGAGGTTTTCTGCAAAAATTAAAATAGGTTAACAAAAAGTAGTTGCACAAGTCGGGTGGTTGCCAAGCCAACTCTCATATGTTTAATCAATAATCTCGATGAAGGTGACAAGGGAATATTGATCAACGCGAAAATCAATAAAACGTCATGGCTTTAACGTGAATGGAAATCCAGCACCTGTTGATTCAACTTAAATGCATTTTAAAATCTTAATTCAAGTGGCAGGGAACACGAAAACCTATCCGATTAAAACATGGAAATTACAGAAATTGCCAAATAGATGCTTGAGCGTTCAGCAAAATAATTGTCAACACAGGGTGATAGGTTACAGCGTGGAATTTTGCACCAGTCGTTTATTAATAATGCATTTATTGAGATTTTCAAAAATCGATTTACCAGGATATCTCTCACGTGAAACAGTTTTTAAATAACTCCTGGTAATTACTTTGTAAAAGAACAATATAAAAAAGTACTTACCGGGAGTGGTAAGAGGATTCAGACCACCGATAAACATCTTTCTAAAGTAAACAAGAAATCGGCTACATTTCAAGACATAAACAAGATTGACGTGACCAAAAAATGAACTTAAGTGGTGAACGTGAGTTTTAACGTCAAATCAAAACCTAACATGGCATAAACGTAGTAAGTTATAGGCCCACTTCGGAAACCTTAAACCACTTATTTATTGCTAATGACTCTAAGTTTTTTTATTTTTTGCTCACAAGACGTTGCAAAAAGCCCCATAACTGACAGTCCGGATTTGCGCGAGGTTGATTAAATTTCAATTTTTAATGGTCTTCGTTACGGCGCAAAAAGGATGAACGAACATGTTTAGTGTTAAAAACGCGAGAATCTTTCACAAACCATGTGACGCACGACTTGTGAAATTGACCGTTTTGGCTCTTTCAATAAGCACCTGCCTTTTAGAGGTCGTCAGGCCTAACACGGGGTGGCTTGGGTGCTTTGAAATTTAGTGAACAGTCCTCGCACCAAACAGAGGCATTTGCACGGCCTTGCCTGCCATTGGGTAGATGCCAAGCAAAAAAACCAAATGGAACTTGGGAAGGTCCAAGCTGGCATTTCAAACGAGATGCAATTGAACAATGTGCCCACCAAACTATGGACTGGCTTTGATTAAGTGCAGGCATTTATTTCAGCGAAAAAAAGCTGGACGGGCCTATAAGGTAATGAATAATTCAACGTCAACAGCTCGCTCGAGAAACTGAAACCATGGTGCAAAGGATGCCTCAATATTCGGATATTTTAAGTAGTAAAGTGAGAAGCAATCCTATGACAGTGACTTCTAAATGTTTTACTTTTGCCATACCATAGGTCTCGTGAGTTTCGAAACCTTATAGTGCAGCCACAAGTTGGAGATATTAACAACAACCTAATCGGTAAACGGAAGGCAGCAAAAAAGTGAGATCAAACCCATTGTGTTTTTGATTTTAATGATGGGGGGTACTTGCCAACCTACAGACAAAATCCGCACCTCTACTTAGTTAAAATGATGAAATGAAAATGCGATTTGGAGTCTACTGAGACACCGAGGGTATACCCGTCTACCTCAAGAAAACGCGCCTTATCCATTATCCAATCACTTCCGTGACCACAGCCCCTACCATGCCCTACAATGCATGTGGTGGTGTGACACCATCATAAAAAACGCATGAGAAATAATGTCACTTAGAATTCTAAGTACAGACCAATGTAGGAAATGTGAAATAAGGTTACTCAAGCTAAAGTTCGAACTTACCCAGGGTCATTTGAATCGCAACCACTGCCAGTGCTGGTAGGCGACAACTGCTGGGATGAAGGGGATCCCAGAAATGGTGGGTGGTCATTACTTGAGGAACTATTTGGCGTCACAGGAACCAGTGACCCATTATCCTGCTGATCCAGACCTGAATCCGGAGACATAGGGGCGGGAGACCTTTGCAAGCAATCTCCGCTATCCGCCTTGACCACAACCATTTTCTCCGTTTGAGCAATGGCTTCGAGGGTCATCGTACAAGATAATAAATAAAGCAAAACTACAGGCAGATTATGGCCGACAAAATTGTAAAAATAGAATGAATGGCAGTTTTATGCCGGTCACGCACAAGCACACACAGACCCGTATGAAAACGAGTGAAATTGCCAAGTGAAATGTCAGCTGACGAAGGCGATGGTTGCTATCGCAATAGTTATACAACGCGTCCAATAACGTGTTAGCCTCAATACACACCCACTGAAACGACCTTCACTTGCAACGCCATTGGCGCGATTGCCAAATCTAAAGCCTGATTGGTAGTGACATTCACCAATGGGTGTGCGCAGCCGGTAGGATGGTTTGTGGATGCGAGGCCTGCGTTCTTGCGATAGCGCTGGTTCGGTTTTGTGAGCATGTGGCAATGGTTGGGTTAAAACTTTGTGATTTAGATAAGTTTTGCTAAAACCAAGGACTTCAGGCATTGCCATCGGTGTTTCAGACTCTGTAAAGAAAAATGATTCATTTCTGTACGATAAACATTATATTAATTCGCACTGTGTAAGCAACTTTTGTCAATGGATTGATTACTCGATCATCCAAATGCACATAATGGACAGGGTGTTTGTATTCATGAACAAAAGAGTGCTTGCTTCGTTATAGTGGTTCAAGTGAATTTCTCACAATTTCATTTGCAGTTTTATACGTTACAGCCAATTTTCTGAAATTTTTTTATTCCACAAAAGAACATCACTTAACTGCCTACTTCATTATGCGAGAAGTGTCAATTTGAAGCACGATTCGAATGTTAATTTGGGGTTCAAAGATCGTTACACCTGTACCTTCGTATGTGTCGTAGCTTGCAATTGTCTTTAAGTAAAACGGATGAAACAGCTAACGTTTTACGTTGCATTCGCTCTACGTATTACATGTCCCTTATCATGATTGCATTAATTACTTCATTTATTCACCATGCCTTTTGATTTATTGACTGGGTGGATGGCATATTTTGTGCTCACCACGTGTGCAACGAGAAAGCAAAACCAAAATGAACACCCTATTAAAGTGCCTTCATTTATTGGTGTTTATAGATTTAAGCTGAACGGTTTTGATGTTTTTACGTGTATTCATGTTCGTAGAAACTCGTAAAAAGCTCAAAACCATGCCTTTAAAGTGAGGTTTTAAGTGATGAGAAATTGGACAGTCCTGCAAGGAAATTATCCGCAAATAAATTAATTTTGTTTTCTTTCCTGTGTTGGCTTTGTGTTTGCTATTTAGGTTGAAATCTTGTGAAAACAATGTTTTGTTGCACAGCATTGCTGAAGACTGCTTCCTATGTACGCAAACACCAAGATCTGCTTTCAAGAAAGATCTACGAACGCCGTTCAGCATTGAGTTTTTTTGAGCCAGCGTGTCAGTATTTCGCACCCACCGCTATCGCAGGCATTGATAGCTAGCACACGATGACCCCTGCCAGACATGCCATGACAACCCGCACAAAACTCGACATATATGTTGTACCCTGTGATTTGAAATTGTCACGCACGGAGTTGAGCATGCATGAAACAAGGTTACAAGATCACAGTTGTTAGTTCTACCTGAAAACTTTGTCGGCTAAAATATCGACGCTAATATCCTGGTTTTTGGTTCCGCTGGTGGTGGGGCTGGTCGGTGCCTTGTGAGGTAAAGCCTGTGTAGATTAAATAAGGAAGAGCATAAAACATCAGATAGTTTGATAGTACCATGCCCGAAGCCTGAAAAAACCATTAAATTAACAAACCTCAAGTGTCTTTCGACAAACCATTCTTCCAACGATGAACGATATACTCTTGATGCCACAAAAGATCTTTAGAACAATATATCTAATTTTGAACCATGTATTTCATACTTGTTGGTTGCTCAGTTGACGAAGAATACGCTAGAAATCTAATAAAATTGCAGACATTTTTTAAAAGTGATGTCGTGAGTATAGCCAGACTCCAGGGACTCTTTGGCGAAGCCAGCTGCATCCTCATACGAGCAAAATTAAATCAGAAAAATGCGTAGTAGTTCAAGCAACCCATTCAGCTTTAGTCGATTTCGACCTAGTGCACAATCTTGTAGGACTGATTTATTGGTGATGACTTGTACGGGTTGATATTTTGTGGTGAAAGGACTAGCAATGAAATAAATTTAAGGATTCAGCAGCACTTTGACATAGACTTTTTTTCTTTGCAGATAGAAATTGCCATTATTGAGGACTTCCTACCTGTTACCAGTGCTGCTCTAAATAAGAGGATCAAAAGTAGTCTTAGTTATTGATGCATTACAACTTTTGAGCCGCTCACGTCACCGATCTGGTATCTAAGGCTACAGTAAATTCCAAGCCTAAAGGGCAACGATGTTTCCCATGCCGGCAATTAATGAAGTGCTCATTTAAAGCCTTAACAAAAATCTTATAAGCAGCATTGTCATACACCAAATTTATGTATGTGGGCAAACATAAGAGCGAAAGTTGCAGTGTCAAAACCAGCGTCATTTACCGTCGGAACTGGATACTTCAACAATAATTTTGCGTTAGGAATTTTCCATTGCATTTTTGTTGCCGAAATCATGCAGAAAGGAAGACTTAATATATTGTTTTTAGAAAAACGAGTCAGACTTAATCTAAAAATCTGCTTAAATAGTCAAAATCGGATATGGTACAAAAAGATTTAGGTTAACGGGTCAGAAAGGATTTAAACCAGACTGACGACGTCCTTAGTAATAGCAAAAACGGCGAACTTGTTTTGAAATTTCTGATCTATTCCTTCTGCTAACTGTGAAGCTGGCCAGCAGACAAATATTTTAAAAACCATTCAAATCTGTTTAACACTACGGGATCGCAATGCCATTTTGTCAGGGGGAAACTCCAAAGCCTGGAATTTCTGTTAATGAAAACACTATTTTTTGTATTAATCAGCACTGCATAAAATTTGGTTTTAAAATACTATTTATTAACGTATCATTACACCAAAGTACCCGATCAACCGCTTCTAATCGGAAGAAATAGCATCACGATGTCTGTTTATTACCGTAGTTCCTGTCGGTTTTGTGTTTGGGCGAAGCTCCATGACGCGAATAAACGGCGTGAGCGTGCCTGTTGACGCAAAGCCTATTCTTTGCACGACCTTGTGAAAGTCTCGAACAAAAAAAGCACTGTAATCAAGCGCGATGCTTCGGCTAAATAAATCCGATGAAAGTGAGTGCATCCTTCGTGTGTTAATCAAATCTGCATTGCATTTGCATTAATCCGAAGCATCGCAGAACAGTTTTGTTTGCACGGCGTGCGTTGATAAGCAGAAACGGAATTCCATTTTGATGTTTTAGTAAAGAGTTTATTTGTTGAGATAGTTTGCCATTTTGTGGTTTCGAATCGCACTTTTCAAACGGTCTTTATGGCCGAAATGGCTATAATCTAACTTTAACAAATACATTTATGAATCTCACTAATGGGGGAAATGGACGTAGATAAAATTTGCGCTGTAAATTTACACATTCTTATTGCCTAGATGATCAGCAATTAAAATCTGGAGTGTACTGCTTTGATTACAATATTTTCTTGCATGATTTAAAGGTTTGTAAAGAGCCTGGTAAGTTAGGTTAGTACCTCTGGACTCCAGCATAAATTTTGCATGACATACTAAGTTGCAGTGCAACAAATCTGTTTGCATCTGTTGGCAGTCGTAGTACTGGTGTTACACAATCAATAAGTGATATGCAATCAAATTACAAAGAGTTTGATTTTGCTGATTTGTCAACCAATTTCTATTGTGGATATCAAAGTATCAAAAACCAACGGCCTTTTACCAGACAGCTTTTGTTATTCCATTAACATTTTTCTGCATACTAAAGAAACAAGGGTCGTGCTGCGCTTGCATGAAAGTAACTGTTACGCGGTTGGAACTTGAAGGCCAATTATTTATGACAAGGGGTTGGTGGCGACTGCGGGCTTTGCGGCAGGAGCCAGTTATGAAGCCGAGGTACCACGGCAGCGAAGAGACACAGGGAATGTGAAATTGTTACAAAGTGGGTGTCTAAATAGACTGTGCACATCTGCAACCGCACATACCACAGACTAGGTTGCAAAATTCGTGGCAGACGTGGGCCAAGAAATACACGAAGCAGATGCGCCGGGTTAAAAGGTTTTGCATATTTTAGAATTTCATTCACTTTAAAAGTGACTGTCGTTTTCACACTAAACTCAAAACATGTCATGAAAGAAAGTTGGCTAATGTGTGCAAAAAAATTGCGTCCGGGACAGAGCTTTGCGTATTTTAACGAGGGTTTCATTTGCAATTAAAGCACGTGATTCCATCCCAAGGCATTTTGCTAGTTTTGATAATGGTTTTGGTAAACGTCGTGGTTGAGATGTGTGTGCTTTAGCAAAGAAAGATATTCTTGACCTCCATTTAGCAGTTACATTCCAGATCATTGTCTGGATGTTGATCACAAAGTCATGGCACAGCTATGATAAATAAAATTGCTGACTAAAGTTTGAACCGATAAAACACGAATTTATCCCACCGTTTTTTTCAAATAAATTCAAGTCTAACTCGATTGTGGAACTGTAGCAAATGGGTCATAATTGTTTATAAAATCAAAAATTATATTTATCTCACCAACAGTACTTAAGTTAAAACTGGCATTTTGCTTATGCATGTGATGTTACAGCTTTCCATTGTTCGCAATTACCTGACCCTCTGGTGTAGCCCTCTATAAGAGGAAAAAACATTGACACAAAACAAGTACTTCAGAAGGTAAACAATTTTTCTGGTCATTGTGATTGTGATTATGTGTCAGCATAGCTTATTTTTCTTCATGCCAAAATTGCAGATTTTAGTGTATCAGAAGAACTCCAGTGAGCCGAAGCAAGTCAGTAACCTTCTAGTGTGTGTTTAACCATTGCCATTGGTAAAAATCTGTGGTAGGCACTACAAAGAACAGCATTAAGTGCTTCGATTTTAGTTAAGGCGGAAGTTCTCCAAATGCATTATAGCGTTTACATCTCAAGTGCATT